AAACTTTTGAAGCCTTTCAATGGTTGCATCCTCGCTTTGATTTCTGGGACCATTTTTCTTGTGAGGGTAGGTGACCACCACCGTTAGCTTTGCATTTTCTTATCTAAAAAAATCCTTTCTGTCATTTTCTCACTTTCCATAACTTTCAGTACCTCCTTTCTATCTTTGTCACCTGCTGGTGCTTTTTTCTCCAACTCCCTTCCTGCAATTCGTTTGTCCTCCATCCTGACTTCCTTCTTCTTCTCAGCCTTTCTTCCATTGCCACTTATTCTCATCTCACCCTCTTGAGCAGTCCTTTGTATCACAAGCCTGTTGCCTTTTTAAAAAACCACTTACAGAAATTTGGAGAACCAAACTAAGACTGGAAATGTGAGAACCCCAAATTTCCAGATTTGCACATCCCTAGTGATAAACTGGGAACAGTAGTTGGATTTTACTGCTTTGTAAAGTTCAAATTTCCCATTTTAACCAGGCAGACTCTCCCAGGTGTTAGTGTACAAACATTGTTTTATGATCAGCTAGCTAGTGCCCTGAGAAGGCTGCTAAGCAATGGCAACAGATTTAGGAGATACAGGAGCAGGAACACCTGCTACACCCTTCAATTTCCTCTTCTACTTTTAACCGATTCACTAAATCATTTCAGCGTAGACTTGCTGAAACAAACAGAAAATTACAATGTGAAAACTATATCCCTGAAATCTTCAGCTGTGTCATGGAGATCAGAAAACAAGATAATCATCTGAAACATACACCAGAGGCATTACTTCGTGGCTGACATTTATTATGAATTATTCTAATTAGAGAACCCCTTTTGGACTGTTTGTGTGAAAAGGAAAAGGAATGAATTTGAGACATTTGTGTCTGAAGATTGGGAAAACATTACTTAACAGAAAGCAGAACAGTTGGATATCACCCTAGCAGGAATGTTTTGAATAATTTCTTTTATGTAACTGACAGACAGAAAATCAGAAATCCCCTTTTCTTCTCCTTTTCTTTGTCCCCCCCTTTCTTCTCTTTCCCCCCCCCCCCCACTGGTGTCCTCTGCTGTGGGTCATTATTGGGGTCCAAGGATTAGACACACATGGTTGGTGGAAGGACCTTGAGTGAGAGACAGGGATCTGGCCCGCCAGGGTCCTGAACCCGGCCCGCCCGGCCATTGCAGAACCCGCCGCTGTCTAACGCGGAAAGGGCCAATTCGAGCGCCGCAATGAGTCTGATGGGCTTCAGCGCTGACCAATAGGGCGCCTCCTGGGAGGGTCGCTCTTGGACTCCTCCTCCTCGCGCTCGCCGCCAGTGGTTGTGTGCTGCGTTCCGGCGGGTGAGCGATTTTCAGCATTCCCCGCCCCCCCAACAATCAAGCGGCCAATCGCCGCTTACAATCTCAGGTTCGTGCTTCGTTACAGTGGGTGAGCGATTTTCGGCATTGGCTGCTTGATTGTTTGGGGGGGGGGGATTCTGAAATTTGCTCACCCACCAGAACGCAACACACAACCACTCATGCCACAGAATGGGGAATGGGAAGGCCATTGTGGCGTTCGTACAGAGCCCCTGGTCATTTCACAGACTATTGACCTGTACACCACTACAGTGGTACCTCGGGTTAAGTAGTTAATTCATTCCGGAGGTCCGTTCTTAACCTGAAACTGTTCTTAACCTGAAGCACCACTTTAGCTAATGGGGCCTCCTGTTGCCACCGCGCAGCTGGAGCCCGATTTCTGTTCTCATCCTGAAGCAAAGTTCTTAACCTGAAGCACTATTTCTGGGTTAGCGGAGTGTGTAACCTGAAGCGTATGTAACCCGAGGTACCACTGTACTTTATTCTTCCACTGCCACCAATTTTGTGGGGGAAAACCCAGGGTTCTTGGTGAAGTATTGAGTCTCAGTCAGGTAGAGTTAACAATGAAGATTAAAGTTGATTTCAAACACAAACAAGTTTTAAAATATATTCGAAACGCTGACACTCTATTCCCTCTCAGTCTTGTCCCTGTCTCTAACTCACTCTGACTCCTCTATCTCCCCCCTCCCCAAAGAACCAACCGAACTAACTGTTTAAACCTCTGGCCGAGCCTCAAAATCAGGTAGGCTCCACTTCCGGGCTTTCTTATTGGTCAGCCTATTAACCCTTTCTCTCTCTCTCAATACAAATGTATCCCCAAAGAATGGGCAAATGCCACAGCCACAAACCATCAAAAGTGGGTGAGTTAAATATTCGTTCACATCTTTTTAAAACTATAGTCCAGCCCCCAACAATGTACAGGGACAGTGAACTGGCCCCCTGTTCTAAAACTTTGAGGATCCCTTGTTTATTATGTTCTATGCTTTAAACTGTCCTGCGGTCTATAGAAGCAGGATGGTGTAGGTGTGTGTTTGTGTGTATGCATAAATAGATGAGTGAATATATGGACATCTTTCTTTTTTTGCTTAATTTGCATACAGAAAACACCCGAGCAGGAAGTCATGAGGAGTTCTGAAGTCCAATCGCACATTATGACCTGCATGGGTTTCATGATGAGTCTGTACAGAAGTCAAACTCACTTGTAAAAATTATGTTAACAGCAGTCAGTGTAAAGCAGTTACCCATGGCCCTTCCTTATACTATTGCAGTATCCAGGGAGCGCGACTCCCAATCCCACATACAGGCAGAGAAAACAAAGCTTGACTTTTCCTGAATTCTGACCTGATAGAACACCTTTGGAGAGTCACTGCAGGTTAGTTCTCCAATTCAATCCTTTGATGTCAGCAGCTGAGGGATAGTGCTGGGTGATCTCTTTTGCTGTGTGTGTGTGTGTGTGTGTGTGAGAGAGAGAGAGAGAGAGAGAGAGAGAGAGAGAGAGAGAGAGAGAGAGAGAAGACCAAAAGGAAGGAAAGTCTAGGTGCGAGAGAAGTTGAACAATGGAGAGAATGGAGTGTTGTTTGGCAGGTTAAGCTGAGAAACAGAGACATCACATTTCCATCCAATAAATTGCACCCCCAAAGTCCAGCCATTGCAGTTGTTCCTCCTAGCCTGTAAGGCTGGAATTCTAAATACGTATCGTTCTAGGGGGCTACATATTAACTATAGTGGAACATCTACTTACAACCATAATCCCTTCCGGAGGTCAGGTCATAACTAGAAACGTACATAAGTAGAGGCGCACTTTTCCATAGAAAGTAATGGAAAAGTGAATTGATCCGTTCTAGACGATGTAAAACACCCCCTAAAACGGCAGTTGGGGGTTGGGCAAGGGTCAGTAAAGGGCTGATTCACTTCGGCCAGGGTCACTTTTTTTCTTCCCAGGCCAGGTTCTTCTCTGGACTTCCTCAGGTTAGTTCCTCAGTGGGGTTTGGGGCTGCAGTGCGCCCTGCTGTGCCCCTTGCAGGCAACACCTATTCCAGAGCTTTGTGGGTGGGATGGGGGCTCTCTCCCTGGCAGCAGAGGCCTCAGCTCTGCTCCGCAGCCAGCCGGGTGAGCTCTGGGCTGTTGGCAAGGCCTCTGCTCGTATCTAGAGGAAAGTTCATAAGTCGAAGCACCGACTGAAGGTCGTAACTAGAATCGTACATAAGTAGAGCTGTACACAAGTCGAGGTTCCACTGTAGATATGAATTAATAATGCCCTTTAAGTAGGATGGCTAAATGAGTAGGAAGAAAGAGGGAACGTGCGGATCTCAGTCTAAATTATTTTACTTCTTGTTGTTTTCTGGTACATGCATGCCATGATGACTACACCATTTTACGAATTAGACCCTCTGTAAGACAGGGGCATCGACTTACCCCCCGCATTGAGAGGGCCTGGCATCACATGACCCATCCTGGCCCCGCCTGGCATGTCAACGCTCCCCCTGTGGTGATGGGGGGCCTCCCACCCAATGGGCCAGTGCTCACCCATCAGCAACAGGCAGCACAGAGGATGAAAATCGCCCTCTGCATGTCCCTGTGATGGCCTGGGACTCGGGCTCGGATTCGGAGCCAGGGGAGTCTCAGTCTGCACCGTATCCTTTGCCTCAGGCATCATCTGAACCAAGTCTGGGGCCTGACCCCGAAGAGTTCCAGTCTGCACAGGTTCCCCTGCAACAAACACCAGCTGGGCCAAGTCAGGGGCCTGAGCCTGTTCTGGCTCCAGATGCGGGGATTACCTCATTGCCTTCAGCTAGGCCATCACTTAAAGCTGCTCCACTACCAGTTGGGTCAGAGGAGGCTGAGGCAGCCCCTGGGTCTAGTAACCCACCGACATCTCCCGAGCTGCAGAGACTAAGGTCTGAGAGAAGGAGAGACCTGAGTACTCGCAGGAGGAGTGCTCGCCTTTGGGCAAAACAGGGAGGTGAGTCGCCGGGGGATCAGGACTGGCCGTTACTCCGACAAAGATAAAAGGCTGTCGGACCCCGCCCCAGGTTGCGGGAGCAACATTGCAATATGCCAGATCCTGCCTGAGATGCTGTACCTGTCCTTGCCTGGTTTCCTGCCTCGTGTCCTGCCTTGGCCTTGTCGGACTGATGCCTAGCGGAACCTTCAGATTCTGGACCGCTCCTGGACCACGCTTCACAGGTTACCCCCGGGCTGAGCACAGTCCCACCCCCATCCAACATGCCAGCACTTGCCTGGGGGCGGCAGGGGATGGGGAACCTCTCAATGAGGGGAGACAAGTCAGCGCCCCTGTCCTGCCTCTAACAGAAGCAGAGAGGGTCAGATCAGTAAAATGGTGTAGTTGACAAAAGAAACTTTGACTTCAAATAGAACAAAGATGTAAGTTTCATTGAAGTCAACAGGATTTGCTTCCACATAAACATGTATCATATGAAGTGTGGCAACACAGTCCAAGTCACCACTGACATATATCAGTGGTTGTGATCTGTGTGTAGATACCACCTGTCTTTTCACTCTACTTTGCACTTCCTTTAGGTGTTCCTATTGTGCAGCTATGCATCTCCCACAAAGATGTTCCTTCAGTCAACCTGCCCTCTTATTCTTCCTCTACATTTTCGGTCTCCTGTCCCTCTCTGCATTCTTTCACCTATATGACAAGATGCCATATCAGTGGTGGAACATCAGCTTCAAGAATGCATCCAATTTCCCACATGCATTATCCTGTAAGATAACAGATAGTGGCATATGGACAGTGAAATCTGATGGCCGTTTGGGAAACCAGATGGGGGAATATGCCACCCTCTATGCCTTAGCCAAGATGAATGGACATCAAGCCTGTATTTATCCCGCCATGCACCAGTACCTCTCACCAATGTTCCGAATCACTTTACCAGTGATCAGTGCTGAAGTGGATAAAAAGATCCGCTGGAAGGACTTCCCTCTGCGAAGTTGGATGTCAGAGAGTTATAAACACATCAAAGGCAAGTACATCCGGCTGACGGGCTACCCATGGTCTTACACTTTTTATCACCATATCCGCCAAGAGATACTTCAGCAGTTCTCCTTCCATGACCACATCAAGGAAGAAGCCAATCAATATCTTCAGGAGCTACGGGGGCAGCGCCAGGAGGTGACATATGTTGGAGTGCATGTCCGCAGAGGGGATTATGTCCATGTGATGCCCAGCTGGAAAGGTGTGGTGGCTGACAGAGGCTATTTGGAGAAAGCCATGAACTATTTCAGAGAGAAGTACCCCAATCCCATCTTTGTGGTGACCAGCAATGGGATGGAGTGGTGCAAGGAAAACATCAATGCCTCCAGGGGGGATGTTTATTTTTCTGGGGATGGGCATGAATCCTCTCCAGAGAGGGATTTTGCTCTCCTTGTTCATTGCAACCACACAATAATGACAATTGGCACTTTTGGCCGCTGGGCCGGCTACCTGGCTGGTGGGGAGACCGTCTACTTGGCCAACTACACCCTCCCAGACTCTCACTACCTTAAGGTCTTCAATCTCTCAACACTGTTTTTACCTGAATGGATTGGGATTCCAGCAGACCTGTCCCCTCTGCTATCCAAGAAACCTTCTCTTTTTTCTTTTTTAAATATTTTTTATTGATCAATTTCCACATAACATAAGTCCAGAAGCCAGAAGCTTGAGCAGATTTTTGCTAATTCTTGTCTAATTAGATACTTGCATTGAGTGATTGCACTGAGAAATAATAATAATAATAATAATAATAATAATAATAATAATAATTAATAATAATTTACTTATATGCCACCCATCTGGCCAGGCCTCCCCAGCCACTCTGTTTTTGCTTCAAGGTGGGTTCAGGCATTTGGCTAAATACTGTAGGCGAATACTGAAGAATTCCCTGGGAAGTTATGTGAGGCCTATTAAAATTATATTAAAATCATGTTTTAATTAGGAGTTTTATTATGAAGAAGTAGCAGTAAGTTGTGAGATAAAACAACAACAACAACAACAACAACAACCAGGCACACAACTCTACTTGAGGGGTTGTCAAAGAGACAATAGTCTCTAGAACAGTGGTCTTCATCCAGTCCAGACCCAGAACAAGGGACTCACTTCTACACTTTCACTTTTAATTTAAAATTAATAGCACTAGGATATACCACATATCACACACAGGGATATTGGCATGATTTTTTCCCCAACACAAGTGAACCAATATTTCATGTATTATTGGATCGAGGCGGGTCGGGGCTGCTGATTCTTCTAGACCTGCCAGCAGCCTTCGACATGGTCGATCACAAACTCCTGGACCACCGCCTTGCCGACGTGGGGATCCAGGGCACAGTCCTTCAATGGCTGCGCTCGTTTCTCTCTGGTCGGGGACAGAGGGTGGCGCTTGGGGGGGAATTGTCATCGCGCCACTCCTTGGTGTGTGGAGTGCCTCAGGGTGCGATTCTCTCCCCGATGCTTTTAACATCTTTATGCGCCCTCGCCCAGCTTGTCCGGAGTTTTGGGCTGGGTTGCCATCAGTATGCTGATGACACCCAACTCTATCTGTTGATGGATGGCCATCCTGACTCGGCCCCAGACACACTGACCAGATGTCTGGAAGCTGTGGCTGGATGGTTACGTGGGAGCCGGTTGAAGTTAAATCCTTCGAAGACAGAGGTCCTCTGGCTGGGACGGGGCGATATGGGATTGAGGGGGCAACTCCCATCTCTTGCGGGGATGCAATTAGTGCCAGCATCGTCCGTTAAGAGTTTGGGTGTAATCTTCGATACCTCCCTCTCTATGGAGGCGCAGATTACAGCTATAACAAAGGCGGCATTTTTTCATCTCCGCCAAGCTAAGCAGTTGGCTCCTTATCTCTCTCGCCCTGACCTAGCCATTGTGATCCACGCGACGGTCACCTCCAGGCTTGACTATTGTAACTCGCTCTACGTGGGGCTGCCCTTGAGACTGACCCAGAAACTCCAGCGGGTGCAGAATGCCGCGGCGAGACTCCTTATGGGGTCTTCGCTGCGAGATCATATTCATCCGGTACTATACCAGCTGCACTGGCTCCCGGTGGAGTACAGGATCAGGTTTAAGGTGCTGGTTTTAACCTTTAAAGCCCTATACAGCCTAGGACCCTCGTACCTACGGGACCGCCTCTCCTGGTATGTCCCACAGAGAAATTTACGGTCTGCAAATAAAAACATCCTGAAGATCCCAGGCCACAGAGAGGTTAGGCTGGCCTCAACTAGAGCCAGGGCTTTCTCGGCCGCGGCTCCAATCTGGTGGAAAGCTCTGTCACAAGAGACTAGGGACCTGCGGGACCTGACATCTTTCCGCAGGGCCTGCAAGACAGAGCTGTTCCAGCAGGCCTTTGGTCAGGGCACAGCCTGACCCCCTCCTCTGGCAATCTGCACAGAATTTTGCTTAATGGTTGCCATCAATTTGATTTAAATTTGATTTTAATTAATTTTATAATGAATGTTTTTAGAATGTTGGATTATTTTGATTGTTGTTAGCCGCCCTGAGCCCAGCTTCGGCTGGGGAGGGCGGGATATAATAAAATTTATTATTATTCTTATTATTGGTCAAACTTTTGAAGCCTTTCAGTGGTTGCATCCTCGCTTTGATTTCTGGGACCATTTCTTTTGTGAGGGTAAGTGACCATCACCATTAGCTTTGCATTTGCTTATCTAAAAAATCCTTTCTGTCATTTTCTCACTTTCCCTAACTTTCAGCACCTCCTTTCTCTCTTTGTCACCTGCTGCTGCTTTTTTCTCCAACTCCCTTCCTGCAGTTCTTTTGTCCTCCATCCTGACTTCCTTCATCTTTCTCAGCCTTTTTCCCATTGCCGCTTACTCTCATCTCACCATCCTGAACAGTCCTTTGCATCACAAGCCATCCGCCTGTTGCCTTTTTAAAAAACCACATAGAGAAATTTGGAGAACCAAACTAAGCCTGGAAAGGTGAGAACCCAAAATTTCCAGATTTGCCCATCCCTAGTGAATAGCAGTTGGATTTTACTGCATTGTAAAGTTCAGATTTAAAGACTCATTTGCCATTTGACCGAGCAGACTCTCCCATTTGTTAGTGTGCCAACATTGTTTTATGATCAGCTAGCAGTGACTGGTTGTAATTTTAATAGGCAGCAGGGACATCGCAGTTCTCACTTCCGTTGGTAGAAGATGCAATTGCTCACAAACAGTACCCAGTCCAAGTTGCCATTTTGATTATTTTCTTGTTTTCCTTTCAGCATTGCAATCCCCAGATGGTAATACCTGGATTACTCCAAACCTACAGGTCTTTCTTGTAAGGTAAAGGTACCCCTGCCCATATGGGCCAGTCGTGTCCGACTCTAGGGTTGTGCGCCCATCTCACTTAAGAGGCCGGGGGCCAGCGCTGTCCGGAGACACTTCCGGGTCACGTGGCCAGCGTGACGAAGCTGCTCTGGCGAGCCAGCACCAGTGCAGCACACGGAAACACCGTTTACCTTCCCGCTGTAAAGCGGTACCTATTTATCTACTTGCACTTAAGGGTGCTTTCGAACTGCTAGGTGGGCAGGAGCTGGGACTGAAAGACGGGAGCTCACCCCGCCGCGGGGATTCGAACCGCCAACCATGCGATCGGCAAGCCCTAGGTGCTGAGGTTTTACCCACAGCGCCACCCGCATCCCGGTCTTTCTTGTAGTGACCTCTTAAAGAATGTCCTGGAGTCAGGATCACTTGTCAAAGGGTCTCACATCCCCTGGATCCGAGCATATAATTGCAATTCAAACTTCCCACAAAGTTCTCTGAGCAGGAACTACTAGTCTCTAAACCCAGTAGCACCAGATCTTTTGGGCGAGTTGTCTGAATTAACACCGAAACCCCTCATACTTGTCAAATCTTGCATAGGTCCGTAGCAAAGAAAGTGGGAATCGCTTGAGGCCATTCTCGTGTGCCCAAGGTTATGATGAAATCCAAATCAGAGCACTGTGCCCTTTCAAACTGTCCACAAGATCAAAAGCAACACGCTGGCCAGAAACAATTACAATTACAGGGGTTGGTTTGTTTACCCTTTCAAACTGTGGCAGCTTCACTTGAGGGCAGGAGCCCTGGACACTGTGATTGTAAAGCACTGAAACACCTCCCATGTTATAGGGTGGCGCTGTGAGTTAAACCACAGAGCCTAGGACTTGCCAGTCAGAAGGTCGGTGGTTCGAATCCCCGCGATGGGGTGAGCTCCCGTTGCTCGGTCCCTGCTCCACCCAGCCAGTGTGGTGTAGTGGTTAAGAGCTGTAGTCTCGTAATCTGGGGAACCGGGTTCGTGTCTCCGCTCCTCCACATGCAGCTGCTGGGTGACCTTGGATCAGTCACACTTCTTTGAAGTCTCTCAGCCCCACTCACCTCATAGAGTGTTTGTTGTGGGGGAGGAAGGGAAAGGTGAATGTTAGCCGCTTTGAGACTCCTGAAGGGGAGTGAAAGGCAGGATATGAAATCCAAACTCCTCCTCTTCTTCTTCCTGCCAACCTAGCAGTTCGAAAGCATGTCAAAGTGCAAGTAGATAAATAGGTACCGCTCCAGTGGGAAGGTAAACGGCATTTCCGTGCGCTGCTCTGGTTCGCCAGAAGCGGCTTAGTCATGCTGGCCACATGACCCAGAAGCTGTATGCCGGCTCCCTCGGCTAGTAAAGCGAGATGAGTACCGCAACCCCAGAGTCGGTCACGACTGGACCTAATGGTCAGGGGTCCCTTTACCTTTACCTTAGGCTGCTTAAATTGCCCCTTCCAGTCTAAATGCAGCACTCGGTGACATGCAGATGGCTTGGACTCCCTATGAATGCTTCATGCTGTTAAATGTATAGAAACATTTTTTTAAAAAATCAACATTTATCACGTGAAGCAAAAACTGAGTTACGAAGAGTATTATCTCAAGATCCTGCTGTTGTCCTGCTTGGTGGGGTGTGTGTGGCGTGAATACCTGTTCCCCAGCCAGGTATTTCTCAGTTATTTTCTATAGGTAGCTCTCACCCATAGAAAGATATAAAGAGTGGTCCTAGAGGATTATGTGAGACTCTAACCAAGTGAGCTCCTCAGTGTCTTATTCATTCTAGCTTGATTCAAAAGGACATGATAAAGGAAGTTTTTTATTTGGTTGTTTGTATTGTTGTATGTTATGCTCACTGTATGTCATGTTCACATTTAATGAGGGTGGATTTGTGTAATGGGGGTGGGGGGTTGTGTTATGTTGTAAATAAAATTCCAATAAAAATTTAAAATTAAAATCAAAAGGACATGGAGCCTTGTAAACTGAAATATTTGCTGCCCTGTATAGGGCATGCAGGCAGCAACAAAGAAATCAAAAGATTCCAGCCATATATATGACAAAACTAAGGCCTACAACAGTCCCGAAAACACAGTTTCTCAGACTATCTACTTTTTTGAGATTATGAAGTATTATACAATGTAATGGACGAAATAACACAAACTGAGAAGAAAACCCCATCTTTATTATTATTTTTTAAATACAGTTTAAGAGTAACAAATCTAAAACACAATGACATCAAATACCGGTAAAATAAACACCATTACAAAATATAAATTAAACCAAAGAGAATAAACACACGGTGCCTTGAAGAGCAGCCCCAATAATTAAAACGTGCTTTTTGTAATAGATCAACTGAAGACTGATGAATTGGGGGAAACCCTCCAATTCATAGGTTGTAGCCAGTGACAAGAAGAAGAAGCTTGCTTATCAGCCTGCTTCATGCGGTGGTGCATCTGATATGCCTGAGTGTTGAAAAAAGAATAATCTCATATTGTCGTTGCATGTCTTGAGAAAATATCTTGTCATCATGGTGGACGTGTGGAGCTATCTTTGCTTGGCTTCTTGGCCAGTGATTTCAACAGCTCTTGTACTTTTGCACATCAAAATCTAAGGGCAATATAAATATCCTGTAAATATAGTGGAAAAGGCATGAGATAACAACAGGTAAAGGACCCCTGGACGGTTAAGTCCTGTCAAAGGCGACTATGGGGTTGCAGCGCTCATCTTGCTTTCAGGCCGAGTGAGCAGACAGACAGCTCTTTCTGGGTCATGTGGCCAGCATGACTAAACCGCTCCTGGCACAATGGAACACCATGACAGAAACCAGAGCGCAAGGAAATGTCATTTACCTTCCCAATGCAGCGGTATCTATTTATCTACTTTCACTGGTGTGCTTTCGAACTGCTAGGTTGGCAGGAGCTGGGCCCGAGCAACAGGAGGTCACCCTGTTGCGCAGATTTGAACCGCTGACCTTCTGATCGGCAAGCCCAAGAGGCTCAGTGTTTCAGACCACAGCACCACCCACGTTCCAATAGTAACAATAGAGGGGTTTTTCCCCAACCCAGATTAACTAGACACTGGCATTAGAGGCTGAGCTGTGTGCATAACTTGAGGGGGGACAAGAGGGGGGTAAGCTGCCATTCATTGGGAAGTTTGCCTAAAATCAACACTGGACGGATGGTGTCATTGTTATTCCTACTCCATCCATTCCTGGGGACTTCCTGAGCACAGAAAGGGATAGAGGCACCAGGCTGGATAAGGATAATAGATGGGATACAAAGAGGCTTGTAAGTAGTGTCCATGGGCTTCTGGAAGTCAACCGGTTGGTGTTTTCTTTCTTTGAACATGTGATACCCATGTAATATCAAAAATTGTGTTTGAAAGTCCTTTGGCTTTGGAGGGTGATTGTCCCATAGTCGTGGTAAGGAGTGGTGGCTGATGTGATAAGAGAAACACAAGCTAGCCCACAGCTCCCTTGAATGCATGAAATTATTTGTATGTTTCTTTGAATGTATACCAAGCAAAATAAGGATCAGCCTTCTACTGTATCAGACCTTTAATCTACCTCCCTCTTCTCAACTGTCTTATCTGACTTGCACCTGTGATTTGCATCCTGGAGCTTTTCACCAGTGAAGCTAAGGGATGTGACTAAACCTGGACCTTTCTTTCAAAATGAAAAGTATATGAACAGTGGGCAAATGCAAAAAGTCCCTTGAAGATTACATACCCTGCAACATTTCTCTGATGAAAATAGGAACGCCCTATTCCATAATAATAAAAATTTTATTATTTATACCCCGCCCACCTGACTGGGTTGCCCCAGCTACTCTGAGTGACTTTCAACAGATAAAAACATAATAAAACATTAAACATTAAAGAAAACTTCCTTATACAGAGCTGCCTTCAGATGTCTTCTAAAGGTTGTATAGTTACTTATCTCCTTGACTCAGGGGTTGCCTAATTCTATACCCTCCAACATTTCCCCGATGAAAATAGGGACATCCTAAGGTAAAGCAGGATATTCCAGGATCAAATTAGAAACCTAGATGGTTTCTGTAAATACATGACTGTCCCTGGAAAATAGGGGCACTTGGAGGGTCCGAGATTAAGTTCAGACCTTGTTTGGAAATTCAAAGGAACCAATGTGGAACCAGGAAGTGGAAGAGTACCACAGATTCCGGCGTATTAGGCGACTGGGCTTATAAGACGACCCCCAACTTTTGCTGATTAATTTTAGAGTTTTAGAGTTATAGAGTTTGAGCACCGCCAGGGGCAGAGCGCACACCCCTCCGCTGCCTCTGCCATCGCAGCAGCCCAAGGCGAGGCGTTTGGCAGGCGGGCAGGGGAGCCCCGCCCTCGGAAGGACTTTCCGCGTCCCCTTCTGTGGAGAGGGAGGAGGAGCAATGGCAGACGGGGCACCTCTGCTCACCAGCTCCCTCTCCTCCTTCCCAACGTGTATACCCGGCGTATAAGACGACCCCTGACTTTTGGGGTGATTTTCCAGGGAGAAAAAGGCATCTTGTACGCTGGAACATACGGTAATCTCACCTTAAATCCATGTTTCCTCCAGGAGGAGAGTCATCTCACTTTAAGGCCATGTTTCCTTTGGAGCTGCTGGTCTCTGATTATGACATATGTGAGGAAGAAGAGGATCAGACTTCCTATGGCAAATCTAATTATGTTGATCAGGGTATAATCTGGAGGCTCAGAAGTCCCCGGATTGGAGGTGTGAGGACCTGTGCACATAAGCAAATGAACAGGGAGACTTTAATCCACTGATCCCACCAACTGTCTATTCCAACAGACCACAATGTGCAAGATGCATTGCTCTGGATGTGAAAGCAGAGGCAAGTACATCTGCATAAAGAGTTAGTTGTGCAATAGCTTTTATATCTATGCATCCCAGACTTCCTGACTGTCCTCGGAAATGCATTAACTGGGACTATTCAAAATAAAAGAATTCCTTCAGTAGCACCTTAGAGACCAACTAAGTTTGTTACTGGTTTAAGCTTTTATGTGCATGCACTCTTCTTCAGATACACAGAAACAGAAGTCACCAGACCCTTATATATAGTGAGAGGGTGGGGAAGGGTATTACTCAGAAGGGTGGTGGGAATGGGTCATTGGCTGATAGGTGTGGAAACCTGTTGACGACTGTTAACGACTGCAGTTGGTCTTAAGGAAAAAGCAAGGGGTGAGATGGCTAAAAATAGGTTTATCATGTATAATGAGATAAGAATCCAATGTCTCTGTTTGGATCAGGTCTCTCCATGGTACTATACAGTATGTGATACACCTTCATCACTGTTTGTGGTGAAAATAAATTTAAATAATTAGGCAATAGTCAGCAGCATGTCCTGTGATTCTGTGGCCCTGATTTCCAGCTGTATATTATGGAATGCCAGCTATGCTCAGTTGACTCAGAAAATATGCACAAGAAGACTCTTAGTATTCACACTCATAATAGTCCAAAACCACAATGCAACCAAAAGGGGATGTGGAAAGGGGTAAATTTGTTAAAACTGAGCCAAAAAGTCCATACATCAGAGGAAGGGAAGAACATCTACACTGCACTGGTAGTGGGAGCTGCTTCCCATTACCCACTCCCAGATGCAATACTTAAGTGTTTACATCCACACCACACATTGAAAGCATTTTGAACATGCATTTAAAGCACATGGCTTCCTCCAAAGAATTCTGGGAACTGTAGTTCACTTCTCAGGACACTACAATTCCCTCCCAGCTTCATCAACAAACTAGGCTCTGAGAACTGAGCATAGCCAGGGAACGTTAAGTGTCAGTTGTAAACACAAAGACACATGCACACACATGGAAAGACAGGGAGATCAGAAAACAGTATGTGATCTGCCTGCACCTCTTTTGGGTAAAGTGGCCAAACTTGCTACTGGCCCTCCTCTGTGCCCCTTGACAGCTATCCAGAAATTTAAAAGGTAAATTTTCATTCTATCAATTTATACTCAAGAAAATACAGTGGTACCTCAGGTTACAGACGCTTCAGGTTACAGATGCTTCAGGCTACAGCTCTGCTAACCCAGAAATAGTATATTGGGTTAAGAACTTTGCTTCAGGATGAGAACAGAAATCGTGCGGCGGTGGCAGTGGGAGGCCCCATTAGCTAAAGTGGTACCTCAGGTTAAGAACAGTTTCGGGTTAAGAATGGATCTCTAGAACAAATTAAGTTCTTAACCAAAGGTACCACTGTAAAGGGTTCACCTTCTTAATTTCTTCATGTCAATATGTTCTTAAATGCTTTTGAAATACTATTATTTTAGTACTTAGAACTATTTTCTCTTCCTCTTGCTGATTTGAACATGCTGCTTAATGATTTGTATGATTTTAATGCTATGTTTTATATAAAAGGCACACCAGCAGGAAAGCTTTGCTGCTCCAGATAAAGCCAAAACGAGACTTTGATGTTTTGTACCCAACTGGAGTTAATGACTTAATTAAAGTTAAATAACCTCCAATACCAAAAAGCATGGTAAGCCACAGAGCTGAAGGATCAAGGAAACATAGAGACAGAGTTCACTGTGCAATTAACAAGATAAGTGAGCCCCTGGCAGGGGGTGGTGCTGTGGACCCCCTGGGTGCGTTCTGTGGATCCCCAGGGGTCCCCGGACCCCTAACTGGGAACCACTATTCTAATGGATTGAGTCAGACTTCCAAAGATGTTGTTGGATGAGCATTTTATGTATTCTGCACTGATTGTCATCGCCCCACCCCGCTTTTAACAACAACAACAACAACAACAACATACCTGATATAACAACAACAACAACAACAACAACAACAACAACAACAACATACCTGCTATAAGAAGCTCCAGGAAGTTACTTGGTTGTGAGACTAACAGCGGACGATCTAAACATGCATAGCTACAGCTGTAGTTCCCTTCATCCTTCCTACTGATATTGCCAATGGAAAAAATACCCACATGATTGTGAGCCTTCACCAACTGTTTTGGCATTGGATCGCCAGCCTTGTGGAGATAGAATTTTGCAGGTCCACCATTAGTTGTACACGTGATGTTGACTTGTGCTCCAGGGGCAATCAGCTGACTAGTAACAATGGAGATGGTTGGTGTGTGTAACCTGCGATCTGTGCACAGAAGGAAACAGGAATTGAGATTTTGACAACCATAAGCCGGGGCTCTGTCTTCAGCCACAGGATAGGAAGCTACATTAGGGATTATGCTTTTCCCTTTAATGGAAGCCATATGATATTTCAAAACAAGCATACAAGGAAATAAAACAAGCTAAACAACAGCAGATCAAAACTATCTTAAGACAAAGCAGAGAATACTTTTTTAAAAAAGTAAAATGAAATAAGTCATAAAAAGAGAAAGCCTGCCAAATACTTGTCAAAACAGATAAATTTTCACTTGCTGGTGGAATATAATAAGTGAATGGCTGTCTTATCAGATATTCTTTTGGATTCAGGCTGGCAGTAAAAGGAACACTCAGAATGAACTTTAACAAGTTGTATTTGTTAGATGAGCATATAAATCATGAAGCACAGAAAAGCAGATAACTTACAGCCCTTTCAAAACCTATTTGGTGTTTCGCAACTTTCTGACTAGTTGCAGGACATTAGCCAGACCTAGCAGAGTAAACGCAGAATCCACGGAAGCAATTGGTGACTTGGCTGCAGACAGGATAGATGAAGCAGGAACCAGGAACTTGTAGTTAGGTGTTTATTATATACAGTGGACTATTTACAGGAACAGAACACAGATCTTTTGCTAGCTCTCTCTGACACGACTCACATCTCCTACACTGACACACAGAACTCTGAACCTGAAATACTGAACTAACAGTTAGTAGGCCATTAATTATCACTCCTTTGAGAGAGCTTGACCAATCAGGGAGCGGTCTCCATGTCTCTGTTATCACCAGGCAGACTTACTCCTTCAGATTGCTTTCTGGCTGTCTGCCAAACCTTAATTGACTCTGTGTGAGTAGCTGCACGTACACAGATTCCCAACAGGGGTCACCAAGTATGCAAAACATGCTTTAACAAAGTCAGCCCAGATGTTTTCCAGGAAAGTCTGATATGGAACAGGCAGGGGAATTATTGTTTTTTAAACGCTACATCTTCCCACCGAGGAAGTGGGACTCATTAAATAAACCTCTGTTTAATCCAGGGGTCAGCAACCTAAGGCCCATGGGTCGCAAGTAGCCCATGGGGGTCGTTGAACTGGCCCCCGAGCTGCCCCTGAACCGAGCCATCTGCTCCGTGAGTCCCCTCACGCTGCACTAAACCGGCGCGGCGCAGCGCAGCGCAGCACGCGGACTTGCCTCTGCGGTGCTGTAAATTAGGTCTGCACATGCGCAGACGCCGGAAATCGTGTCTGTGCAGATGCAGACGCTGGAAATCACGTCTGCACAGATGCTGGAAATTGCGGCGGCGGGGGGGGGGGGGGTGTGAGTGTGCGATCCAGCCCACCGAGGGATCCAGCCCACAGAGGGTGAACCGGCCCAGGCGAGGTAAACCTTGCCGATCCCTGGTTTAATCCATGTTATGTGCCCTCTCCAGATAGCCTTCTAGTGCCTTGTGCTAGTAAACACCCAGCCTGATGCTCAAGCTCAAACCAGAAATGAAAGCTGAAGCAAGCGGGTGGGGAAGGTGCTTGCAATGACGACTCCCTTACCTATAACTAGAAACTCCACAGGCTTACTGGGCTCTGAGATGACAAAAAGATCTGACGAAGGGCGGTAACTACAGGCAAAGCTTCGATTGTGCTCCTGCTCTGCAATGATGGTGAAGCTGGCGGTGTTCCTGCTGGTCACAAGGCGCTGCAGAGGCTTCGTTTCTCCAGACTTTTGAAGATAGAATGTCACGGCCCTGTCTTGGTTGTGGCACTGGAGGGAGACAGTTTCTCCCACATTGACAATGACAGAACTCAGGGAAAGACTGGGTCTGGGTAAACTGGGATCTGTGGAAAGGGAGAGATTGGATGGTGAGGAGTCCCACTCCATTTATCATCGCCCTGCTTTTTTCTTGATCTCTTGTTGTCCCTTCAGCACTATGGAGAGATCTGATTATAACTGCTGGTTTATATTATTTCCAGAGAAAGGACATCCATTGCTTCTTCGACCAGGTATGCCTTGCTGCAATTTTTTGTGCAGACATATTTATGGCTCACATGCACTATATGTTTAAAGGAGTATTGCACCACTTTAAACAATTACAGCTTGGGAATCCCAGGAAGTATAGTTTGTTAAGGATCCTGAGAGTTCTTAGGAGACACCGATTCTCCTAACGGAACTACAATTCCCAGAGTTCTCTGTGAAGATGCATTGATTTCTAAGGTATTGGTCGTTAAACCACTCTGGAAATTGTACCTCCGTGATGGGAATAAGGGTCTCCTAGCAACTGTAACCCCCCTTAACAAAATACACTTTCTTTTGAGTCTTTGCTGGAAGACATGGTTGTTGAAAGTGGTTTGATACTGTTTAAACAGGCCTAAGTCTAACACGTCTTCAACGTGAAAGAACATTTAGACCTCTTTGTGATGAACTTTTCCCAGGCAAATCCAACTTAGCCAAATATTCTAGAAGGGCACGGGGGAAGAATCCTGCATTTCTGTTGAGTTGCCAACTATTCTTTCTGGTTCCAGCCCAGTCACCTGAACAGCAGCCTGGAAAACAAGCAGTTGCAGTTTGTTCCTTCCCTCGCCATTGTGTTATCCCATAGCTAGGAGAAAGATTCACTTTGCTTAATTTCCTCATATCATGGTGATGTTAAAAATACAGGAGCAGGAGAACACTGCTACCTCTCAAGCTCACCTGAGCAAATTCCCATTTAAACATTTATAACATAAACAACCAGAAGTGCTAGATAAATAAATGAATAAGCTTCAAAGGCCATTCTAAAACAAATATTGCAGATTGCTGGAGGACTAGCCTTACCTGTTACCAGAAGCTCTAGGGGGGCACTGTGTTTTGAGATGAAAAAGGAATTTCCTGAACATATGTAGCTGCAAGTATAATGCCCTTTGTCCTCCAAGCTGATATTGGTAATGGAAAAAGTGTGGGTGCTCGAATTACCCATCCTGGAATACTTTGGTGTTGGATCTCCAGTCTTATGGAGATAAAACTGTGCAGATCCATATGCAATTGTGCACACAATATTGACTTGTCCTCCAAGGGCAACTAACTCACTGGGGTTGATGGAGATTGAAGGTTTTATTAAGCTGTCATCTATGCACAGAAGGAAAAAGGAATTTAGATGCTGACTGTCACCATGTGATTGGGGCATGTCTGGGTGAATTTGTCAATTATGTTTTTTTTTCAAGTAAATTTTTATTGTTTTCCTTACATATTCTTTTCCAACAAACCATATTCATGCCATACATTCCCTTTGACTCTGCTGAGTCGCGACTCCCCTCCCTCCCTACAATTGGTATATTTAACCGAATTTGTCAATTTTGGCTTCTCTTTTTCTCATTTTCCATTCAATGCATTACATTTTTTGTATCAGTTTGCTGTGGTTTGTTTTTTTAAACCATCATGAAAATTTATCAGCACTGAACACAAATCTTATCTAATATGCACATTTTTGCAAAGCGATTTCCCCTACAATAATGCATTTTGTATGTTGTTTTCAATAATATATGCACTTTAAGGCACGTTTTACCCTAATATGTGCATTTTTGTGCACATTGTGATTGCATAGCTGCACAGCAAAATTAATAAAATTGTGGATTTCAATGGAGGGCTCTGTTTTGGTTCTCACATGGTTTTGGGATGTGTGAATGTGGTCATCATGAACTTTCCTAGCACTGATATTTAGCAAAACAATAATGGAGGTGACCAGTGTAAATATCAGACAGAATAATTTCCCACTCATATACCAGTATCCACAGCTATTTCTGGTTGTCAGCAGTAGTATAAAGGTCCTACTGCCTGTCAAATGCTTAAGCCTCACCCCCTAGTCGTCATCCGCCAGCTTGATTTATAATCACATGATATGCCACCCTGGAAGCCCTGCCTCAGAAGCACCACCCTTTAAGACCACCACCATGCCATGCCTTAGGAGAGGTCATGTGACCTCTCCACAATGACAGCAGGTTATTGTGGGCCAATAGGCAGAGGTATTCAACCTCATACAATCAGGGAAAGGGGAACTTGGGCTTGCTGTAGGATGGCCTCTTTACATGCCCAGACACATTCTTAGGAGTCAACACACTGAGGCTGCCCCAGCACTTCTAAAAGTTCTAGCAGATTAAGTAGCAGATTGGTTGGGGGTTTAAAACCTCTGATTAGTCCACAGTGATGTGACATCATTGTAGAGGGGTCACATAGCCCAGTCAAGCCAATCAGATACCCTATTGTGACTCAAGTCAAATTGGCTAGGGCTTTTAAAAACTCTGCCTATTAGTCCATGAAGGCCTGCCTTCACTGTAGGCATGATCCTGAAATACATGTCATGGTGGACTTACATGGTGGGAGTTATGGCGTGGGATATCATGTGATTTTATCAATCAAACTCTAAGGCAGGGGTCAGCAAACTTTTCAGCCGTGGGCTGGTCCACTGTCCCTTAGACCTTGTGGGGGGCCGGACTATATTTTGAAGGTAAAAAGTGAATGAATTCCTATGCCTCACAAATAACCCAGAGATGTATTTTAAATAAAAGCACACATTCTGCTCATGTCAAAACACTAGACAGGCCCCACAAATAACCCAAAGATGCATTTTAAATAAAAGGACACATTCTACTCATGTAAAAACACGCTGATTGCTGGACTGCCCGCGGGCCAGATTTAGAAGGCGATTGGGCCGGATCCGGCCCCCGGGCCTTAGTTTGCCTACCCATGCAAACTTAAGAGTCTAAGGGGTCCCATCAGACTCCAGGAATCAGGGCTTACCCTTATACTACTGTCAGCTTACTTAACTTCACTCTTGAAATTATTTCTGGTTCCACCTAAACCCTCAGAACATACCTCTGAAAAGCAGCTCCACAGGATCACTGGATGGTGAGGTGACAAAAAGTTCTAGCTTGGGACGATAAGTGCAGATATAGTTCCCAGCATGTGCCGGCTTTATATTACTGATGTGGAAATTTGCCATGGCCCCGTTGTTACTGATGGCCGTAGGGACCATTTGGTCTGTATCCTTTTTAAAATAGAATGCTGCTGCAATGTCTTGGCTTTGGCAATGGATAGTGACTTTTGTTCCTGGGTAAACAGGCTCAGCGGGTGTCAGGAAGATCCTGGGTCTGGATAATTTGGGATCTGTGCAAAAGAAAATATAAGGGGAGGGAAATCCCTCCCCAGTTGCCAAGTCCTGTTAAGATACATACAGTGGTACCTCGGGTTACATACACTTCAGGTTACAGACTCCGCTAACCCAGAAATAGTACCTCGGGTTAAGAACTTTGCTTCAGGATGAGAACAGAAACCGTGCAGTGGCAGCGCAGCGGCAGGAGGAGGCCCCATTAGCTAAAGTGGTTCTTCGGGTTAAGAACAGTTTCAGGTTAAGAACAGACCTCCGGAACAAATTAAGTACTTAACCCGAGGTACCACTGTACTGAACTTTTCTCTGCCATATCAATGAATAAGGGGCAGGTGACAACCACTTCCTATTCTGATCATAGATATCCACCCAACAACTCAGCTTAGTCAAAAGAAAATTCATTAGGGCCTATTTATTTAAAAAACAATGTATTTTTAAAAAAATTGTTTATTTTTAAATATTGGCATAAAAGAACTCAAAGCAGCTCACAACAATAATACCTATATGGAATAAGAACCGGGTAAAATTTTAAACCAGAGATCATATATTAGCTGTTACAGAAATACATGTTGTTACCTGCCTGCATAATTTTTGGCCGGCACCCACTGAATCTCTATTAGCATTTCACAGGACCGGGCTGATGGCACTAAAAGCTCAGCTTCATATTGCTGTCAGGCGAGCCTTGCCAATTTTGGGGACGACCAGTGATGCCCATGCAGATGACCTCCGTGGTGAAGCTGGATATAAAGGTTCAGGTGGTCCTTAAGATACCCAGGACCTTGTAGATGAACACAAGGACCTTGAACCCGGCTCAGTAGTAGATGGGGAGACAGTGCAGCTTTTTTTTACAGTGGTGTTATATGTTGGCAGCTATGTGCCCCCATAAGCAGCCCAGCCATTGCACTGCTCATCAGCTGGAGCTTCCCATCAGCACCAAGGACAGCCACTCCTAGAGTACAGTATGTGGCAGTAATCCAGCCTTGAGGTTATGAATGAATGGGCCACAGTGATCAGGCTGTCTCTGTTCAGGAATGGCTATAGCTGGTGAACCAGATGAACCAGGCAGAGGGCCTTCTCAGTAGTGGCGCCTGCCCTGTGGAACGCCCTCCCATCAGATGTCAAGGAAATAAACAACTATCTGACTTTTAGAAGACATCTGAAGGCAGCCCTGTTTAGGAAAGTTTTTAGTGTTTGACGCTTTATTGTGCTTTTAATATTCTGTTGGGAGCTGCCCAGAGTGGCTGGGGAAACCCAGCCAGGTGGGCTGAGTATAAATAATATTTATTTATTTAGGCATACCCTAAAATTACAGAGGACACATGGGCCTCTGGGTTAAATAAATACGTTTTAAAATGCCTATTTTAACTGTTTTTAAAATTGAGAACGCTAAGGTTTATAGCTGCCCTCTGTGTAAATGGTGCTAGTAGCTGTTTCTGTTTTATGAAATTATTGTTTTCTTGGTTTGTGGATTATTTATTATTTTGTGACTGCATGGTTACAAAGGTTGGGTGCCTCCCCCTCTCTCTGCAAGAGCCCATGGCATTTGGGGCACTCACCCTGGGTCTGTGGTCCTTTGGAGACTGTCATAGCTTTAAGAAATATGGTTTATTCACCTATTTACACCTTCAGTCTGCATGTAGGGAGTCCAGATCTTACAGCCTGGTCATTTCAAGAGGGGCTGATCTCCCATAGCAGCGCAGTCCTGCAGTCCGGGCATCTCTCCCTGCCAGTCTTCCCAAGATGGGCCCCAGACTTTCTTCCTTCTTATTTTCCCCAGCAACCCTTGCTCAAAAAAACCTTTCTTTTCCTGTCACCTCAACCAGTTACCCTGGCAAACATTCCAAACCCAGCCTCTGTTCACACCTCAGGGAAAGGGGGAGGACAGTTCTCTTGCATTGTTCATGGATCTCAATGGCTCTGTATTGTTTCTTAATGGCCCTAGCTTGGCCAGGTCATTTTGCATCCACTAGCCCAGGAATTCGTCTGCAGGTTGTATTTCTCTCTTAACATCTCAAATAATCAAAATAAAACACACACAAAAATCTATCACAGTATTTTTGTCTATGTATCCGAAAGAGCAAGCAAACAAAGGTAAAATTCACACACACACGCGCAAAATGTAAATGCTTAAAATTTTAGAAAATCCTACAATATTATATGTGTACTATAGAACATGAAAGACAGCATTTTAATGTAGGATGCTTTAGAAATAAATGGTAAATGAGTGAATGTTTGATTGTAAAAATACTATGTTTGTTTGTATGTTTATAATAAAATATTAACATAAAAATAAACAAAGGCCATTGATACTCAAGCTTAGTTGGACATTACCCTGTGAGACTTTCAGGTCTTATATTAGTATTAGTATTAGTATTAGAATCATAGAATCATAGAGTTGGAAGAGACCACAAGGGCCATCGAGTCCAACCCCCTGCCAAGCAGGAAATACTAATATTAGTATTAGTATTAATATTAATTGAATTTATATACCACCCTATACCTGGAGGTCTCAGGGCGGATCACAAAACAAAACCAGAATATAAAACCACATAATAGATCATCAAAATAAAGACATCAACCCAATGCCCCCTTCCCCCTAACCCCCACATTTTAAAAGGGTATAGGATGTCAAAGATATAAACCAAAGGCCTGGTTAAAAAGGAAAGTTTTTGCCTGGCGCCAAAGGTGTATAGTGAAGACGCCAGGCAAACTTCCCTGGGGAGAGCATTCCACAGACAGAAAGCTACTACAGAAAAGACTCTTTCTCGTGTTGCCACCATTTGGACCTCTCAAGGCGGAGGCACATGAAGAAAGGCCTCAGAAGATGATCTCAGGGTCCAGGTAGGCTCATATGGAAAGAGGCTAAAAGCAATGAATTACAGTGGTACCTCAGGTTAAGAACAATTCGTTCTGGAGGTCCGTTCTTAACCTGAAACTGTTCTTAATCTGAGGTACCACTTTAGCTAATGGGACCCCCTGCTGCCACCACGTGATTTCTGTTCTCATCCTGAAGCAAAGTTCTTAAGCTGAGGTACTATTTCTGGGCTAGTGGAGTCTGTAACCTGAAGCATCTGTAACCCGAGGTACCACTGTATTTAAATTTGATGTGATAAGTTCAGGACACACCAAATAAGATACTATACCTGATATGAGAAGCTCCAGGGATGTACTCAGTTTTGAGATGAGGAAAGGTTTCCGTCCATAGATGCAGCTAAAATTCCCTTTGTGTTCCAGGCTGACATTACTAATGGAAAGTTCACCTGAGGGAAAAGGCATGGGTCCCTCCACTTTTGAGCCTCCAGCCTTATAAAAATAAAATGAGGTGGCTCCATCTTTAGGTTGACACTGTATCTTCACACGTCCCCCCAGGGCAATTGAATCACTGGGTCTTCGGAAGATGTTGGGTCTGCTTAAGCTGAGATCTGCATGCAGAAGAAAAAGAGATGTGAGGTGGCCCGCCATGGCATGCTTGTAAAGAGTGGAAAGAGGCAGGTGTCTCCACCTTAGCATTCAACAGCAATGTGTGTGGACACAGGGACATAGGAAACTGCCTTACACAAAGTCAGACCATTGTCTACACTGGCCGGTCCTGGTTCTCCAAGGTTTCTCTCCCAGCCCTACCTGAAGGTGCCAGTGATTCAAACTGAGACCTTCTGCTTTCTCAGTGAGCTTCAGCCTTTTGCCATAAACTCACAGATCATATATCCCATCTGCTGCCTGTAAGTGGAGCTGATTACATCCTTTCGTCCTTCCACAAGATTGCCTTTAAACCTCAGCTTCAACGGAGTGGTTTAGCAACCATTTCCTCTTCAGAGGGAGCTCTGGGTCTTGTAGCATCTTCTGAGACTTGCTGCAGTTCCTCAACTGCCTTCCCCTGAACCCTTAGCATACTCCGGCCTCGGGCCTCCCAAATGAACATGTTGCTGGTACTGTATATGAAACTCTCATCTCTCAGCTTATGGCTAAATGTATTTCTTTGCTGCCTTCACTAATAATAATAATAATATTTATTTATTTATTTAGACACCGCCCACCTGGCTGGGTTTCCCCAGCCACTCTGGACGGCTCCCAACAGATTTAAAAGCACAATAAAACATCAAACATTAAAAACCTCCATTGACCCCCCAGAGAGATCTCTCATTGTATATACAGCCTCCTGATATTTTGCTACTAGACATTTGGAATATGCTATGCTGTAGCTAGAATTAAGCTAAAACAAAAAATCCAGACTGAGAGATGAGGTTAGGGACGTGCATGCAAAGATGCTTTCTTCTTTTTTAAAAAAACATCTTTATTGAAAGTTCAAAAAGTACATAATTTTATGTGCACTAGACATTGTGAGATGTAAATAAAAGAAAGAGAAAGAGAACCTGTGTAGAAGAGAAAAATAAAGGGGGGAGGAGGAAAAAACCCCAAAACTGTATACTTTACAAGGGTGTTATTGTACTTTACCAGATCTGAACTATTACAGTGTTTGTAAGAACGATGCTTGATGCAAAGATGCTCGTCTACTTACCTGTAAGCAGCAACAACAGAGAGCTGCTGGGCTCTGAGCTGATAAAGGGTTCTAAAGGACGGTGGTAACTGCACTGGTAGTTCCCTCCATGCCTCGGCTCTGCCTTGCTGACAATGAAATAGTTTGCCATAGTCTGATGCGTCACCTGGGTATCAGCATTTTGGAAATAGAACTCCACATCCTCATGTGGGCTTTGGCAACAGATGGTGAAATTACTTCCCAGTGTGATCTGATCCGTGGAACTGAAGGAGATATTAGGCTTTCCTAACGTTGGATCTGTGCAAAGACAAAGATTCTTGAGGAATTCAGTCTTTGCAAAAGACAGTGCGGACACACTGACTTGAAACACACCTCCTGAATAGCTTTTGTACTTACCTGGTCCCACCCCCCACATGCCCAGAATCCAAAACCACTTTGGCTCCCAAGCTCTCACGGGAGCTAATAATAATAATAATAATAATAATAATAATAATTTATACCCTGCCCATCTGGCTGGGTTTCCCAGCCAGCCGACTCATGCAAGAGTGTGAGACCAAAGTACAAGGCTCTCTTGGTCTGGTACTCTGGCACAAAGCAGCTGATTCACGCCAGAGCACTGGACCAAAACAATGGGACATTCTTGGATCCAATCAGAAGCCAGAATGGCTTCTGTAATTCCGGCATGTCTTGCTCAAATCGGGACGGTTGAGAGGTATGATATACTGCTTAATTAGAATAGTCTCTAAGCAGCATACAAGAAGCTCAATTCAATGATTTTTTTTTTTAAAAAAAGGTGTTGATAACTATAAAATCAGAATTCAACGAAAATGCATGCTGGAATTAAATAAAGAGTCTACAGTAAGTGCCAGAAGTTGAATTATTGCAATGCATTCTATGCCTTTGGAGATTACTCAGAAACTTTAGTTGGTCCAAAATGCAGTGACCAGATTATATATATATCGTATATCCTATGTTCTAAAACAGCTGCATTTTCTGCTGGTTCATTGCCAGACCTAAATTCAAGGTGCTCACATTTGTGTTCAAAGCCCTGAGCAAGCCCTAAATAACTTAGGCACCAAACAGACCACCTTCTTCCCTACTGACTAGCTCAGGTGTTAAGATCAGAAGAGGAGGCCCCTTGGCAGTTCTACCTCCCTTAGAAGTTCAGGGTGGCCGTGGCTCGGGAAAGGGTATTCTCTGTGGCAGCCTATTTGTTGTGCCATTCCCTTCCCACAGAGGTGCACCTGGCTTCTTCATGATACAGTTTTCACCCTATTTATTATTATTATTATTCATTTATTGAATGTATATACCACTCTATACCCGGAGGCCTCAGGGCGGTTCACAGAAAAGATCACAATATATAAAATCAAAATAAGAACAATAACATGCCTCCCCCCCCCCCCAATAAAGAGCCACATTTTAAAAGGGTATAGGATACCTACTCTTATGAAGGTATCTGTTTTACCTTTTTTTAATTCTGAATTTTAATTATTGTAACCTGCCTGGGACCTACTGGTGAAGGGTGAGTAATTAATCTAATCTAATCTAATCTAATAAATAAAATAAAATAAAAAAATTAAAATAAAATAAAAAGGAAGCCAGTGCCGGATACCTTAGCATTGTGGACACTGTTCCCAGTTAAAGGACATTTCTTGGGTGTTCTTTAGGATTAAAATCAGGAACACCTCCTATGGCTAACTTCACAATCCTAAGAAGTAACTTCTGTTTAATTCAAATGGGCTTACTCTGAGGTTAGCAGCATTAGGATTGCAGCCTAAATATTGCAAGTTCCAAGTCTTCATTCAGGCATTTTGGGCAAGGGGGGGGGGTTAAAGTGGACTTAAAGCATTCAGTGTCAATCTTTGAAGGAGCATTCTAAGCATGTTAGCAGACTAAAACATCTAGCCTGGACCAATGAACTATGTGACTTTTCCCTTACCTGGCCTCGCTGGGATGCTGAGCAAGATTTTGCTGTGGATGTCTTACCTATTATCATTAGCTTGACTTGTTCACTGTGATTTGACCGAAATAGGTTGCTGTAATAGTAACAGCTGTATAACCCTCCATGCTCGCGGCTTACATTAGTGATGTAAAATGCAGCCATTCCTCTGGCTATTTGGGTGACAATGGTTATGTTGTGGCTTATGTTGTGGTTGTGCCTCTCCAGAGAAAAATTCATGAATAAGTTCAAAGGACTCCAGCATTTGATGGTGGCATTTCCTCTCTCTAAGATTCCCAGGCTAGGTTCCACTGTGATATTGGGAGCGCAAAGGATCTCACTGGGTTAACAAGGAAAGAAAAAGATAATAATAATAATAATAATAATAATAATAGAAGTAGAAGGGAGGCCTATATGGTTGCCTTCAAGTTTGTGGTGGCCCCAGGCAAAGTGACTCAGAGGCATCCTTCTCTGTCATGGGACCCCCTCGGGCTTACCAGAGAGCGGCAGGCAAAGGACACTGAGCAATGGAGGAGCTGAGTATAGCCACCATTTTAATTATCCACAATGATCCTCAGTGATCCTACATCAGGTGCATTGTGGGTAGGGATGGAAATATCTTTCAATTATGATTCTCTAAGTTTCTCATTTCTTCCAATCCTGAATTCAACTCTCTACATTTCTGCAGCAATTTTAAAATTTAGAAGGCAGCAGAAAATTTCTCCTCATCTGCACTGATTTTGGCAACCCTCTCATTTATATAGCAGGAAACATCCCTCTAAGAGTGACTTGAGCTGTATTTTCCTTGAAGTTCCATTGCCTGTAACAGAACTTGCACACCATTTTCTTGAAACGGAAGCACTTTGTGTTTTCAGTCTTCCCAAATGCGTAGTTTTGGAGCATACAGAATAGCTATGCCTTGGTGTTCTTCCTGTGTGCCTTTCCAGAGTGACCCTAACAGCCAATCCTCATCGGCTGATTTACCTCCTTTCTCTCTGATTGGCTCCAATTAGAACAAAGAATGTGAAGTATCCTTCTCAGTGGCTAAAAAGCTCCCCTTTCATGCTGATTGGATGGCTCCAAGACAAGGACCCTGCTGCAGAAACAGCAACAGTTCCTAAGCCCCCCACCCCAATTTCTTACCACTACAGCTCTTGTTGGCCCTGAGGAGAATCTCTATCACTCACTCATTCACTTTCTCACACAGAGATGCAGAGAGCCCATTTAAAAGCTTCCCACAGATCAAAGTTACTGGAGTAACTTACATTCCTGCCACATTCAGCTTCAATGTAGTCTTACCTTTGAACACCTCCTCTTATGCCAGAAAGGAGCCTGGGAAGAGGAAAGAACCATACATTTAGTGGATGGAGATAGTTTAATTCTTCTCCCCTTCCCCAACACAAATTAGCCCCCTTCCTCCTTTAGAAAGGAGATAGAGCACCTGTTTTGGATTCAGAAGGTCCCAGGTTCAGTCCCCAGCCCTGGAAAGACTCTTGCCTGAAATGGCCAGTCAGTGTCAACAATGCTAAACTAGATGGTCCAAAGTTCTGACTCGGCGTAAGACAACTTCCTTCCCCCCCGCCCCGCAAGCTGCTATTTATTCGCAGATGGAAGCCACCAATGGTGCCAATAAACCAGAAATTATGTTATTCCATACCTAATTTTTACCTTGCCCCATGTTATAAGGCTTTCACCTATCAAACGCACAATTAACTTTTTTTAAAAAAACCCCACACAGAATACATCTGACCATGTGAAGAGTACATGCTAAATAATCACAATTTTACTCCAATGTCCTGGGGAAGAAAATGGTGGCCGCCACCATCTGCTGAGATGGGCTTTGCCCCATCCCTGTAGTAGCACAGCTTTGAAAACAGGGAAAAGGCCTACTGGCAAGGCTGAGCCCTATTACCACGAACCTTTTGCTGATTTTTGCCACCTCCCTTAAAAATTTCTATAACCTCTGCCCCCACCCCCGTCAACAACTGTGGAGGAATTTGTTTTTGTTTTGCCATATAAAAATCTTACCAAAAGAACACCATGGGGAGAGCGGGTATCATGATGCAGAAATGTCGGGGTCTTCCAGCCAGTTCCAGAGCTGCTGTCCTCTGCTCTGTTTAGCACGATGTTTTCTGTGAGGCCCCAGATTGCATCTGAAATAGCAGGAAGCTGACAGTGGCCACATTTGCTACCCCACCCTAGACCTTGAGCTTCTCAGAGTTTCCTTCAGTCTAAACAATCTCCTGCAGCCATATATCAGATTGCATGCAAATAAATCAAGCACAAAGCAGGGTTTTGAATTGCCATAGAATTGTTTTTATGGAAAACATACATAATAAAATTCATTTCTGGACTGGCTGCCTTGGAAGATGGTAGAATCTCCTCACTGGAGGTTTTAAACAGAGGTTGGGCCATCTTATTACTAGAATTAAGACCATGACTGGAGTCAAACAGGGATGCATTTTGGCACCTTTCTTGTTTAAATTTTATATTAATGACATGGTTAAAGGACTGGAGGGTCTTAGTTTGCCCCTGTCACAATTCTTGACCAAAAACTCTCAGTCTTAATGTATGCTGATGACCTAGTACTTGTATCTAGAACCCAGGTGGGCCTGAGACGGCTGCTTGCGAAATTAAGTTCATATTGCACGAGGAATGCAATTACAATAAGATGCAGGTCATTGTATTTGGGAAGTACCCTAAAAAGCATGTTTGGCATCTGGATGAACACATCATAAACCAAGAAAATACGTTTAAATATCTGGGGTTGGTTTATTCAGAAACGGCATCCTGGAATATACAGCTATCCAATATTAAATTGCAAGCCTTTAAATCAGCAAAAGCTATTTTGAAATTTGCTGCTTGTAAAGGTGGAAATCTGGTTAACCCAGCTCTATCTGTGTATAACAGCGGTTGGGTGACCGTCTGTCAGGAATCGTCTGGTTGTGATTCCGGCGTTGCAGGGGGTTGAAAAGTATGACCCTTCGGGTCCCCCCTCCAACTATGATTCTATCACAGATTTGCCTATCCCTGGAGACAAGGCATCACATCTACTTACCCCATCGCCTTCTGTTTACAGCTCCAGAGGCAGGGAAGCATGGTATCATTTGCAACTTTCCTGCTTCTCCTAGTGGAGAGTATGGGAATGTGGCCCTTTGGGTGGGAAAAAAACACACCCCTTTTCTAGGCCTCTGAATAATAATAATAATAATAATAATAATAATAATAAAGACCTTATCAGCATTATAGCTCAAATGTATAGTTCCAACTTTTTAAATAAAATCTGGCTGATTCTCCAGTTTTGAATATGAAATTTTGTATCCAAAATGTCACCATTTTACCATGGAAGTCACATGCTTCAGGAATGTGTTGGTATCTCCTGCTCATGTGGGCAAATATAAAGTATGAGGATATTCTTGTAGCTGGGATATCATTCTGTTAGATATCAAATAAATAAAGATGGCTAACGGGCAGTAAATATTTGGGCACATGGGAAATAATCCGAGGAGCGTTCAATGCCAAAGTGAACAGCTTTGCGGAGAATGTTTAGAAGCAGATTCTTTTCCAGCTATAAATAGAAAGCAAACAGCCTACCATGGCAAAACACTGAAAGTAATCTTGGTTCCTGCCATAAGAGGTATCGATAGCAGATTCGGGGAACATTGCTTGCATAACAGGATGGTGTGGTGAGGAGAGCTGATAACATGTCCTGGTGATTTTGCTCAGGATATGAAGAACACGTATGTGTTGCCATTGGGTTGAGCAGATATGTTGGCAGGTCTCTTCCACATCTGTACATTTAAAGCACTCTTATAATACTTTTAGCAGTCAAGGGTTCCCCCAAAGAATGCAGAGAACTGCCATTTTTTAAGGGTAATGTCCTCCCAAGCTTACAATTCCCTGCACCATTAACAAATGACAGCTCCTAGGACTAAAATGAGCTGGAACAGCATTTTAGTTTGTGACTGTTAAAGTGGTGTAGGTATAGGCAAAGGACCCCTGGACAGTTAAGTCCAGTCAAAGGTGAATATAGGGTGCAGTGCTCATCCCGCTTCAGGCTGAGGGAGCCGGTGTTTGTCCACAGACAGCTTTTCTGGGTCATGTGGTCAGCATAACTAAACCACTTCTGGAGCAACAGAACACAATGATGGGAGCCAGAGTGCATGGAAACACCATTTACCTTCCTGCCACAGCGGTACCTATTTATCTACTTGCACTGGTGTGCTTTCAAACTGCTAGGTTGGCAGAAGCTGGGACAGAGCAACGGGAGCTCGCCCCATTGAAGGGATTTGAACCGCCAACCTTCTGATCGGCAAAACCAAGAGGCGTGGATACAAAAGATGCCTCCTTCCAGTGGAGGAGAGAATGTGTATGTCTGGGACTGTATGGATTGGGACTGTAGAGATGACTCTGAGCAAGGGAACACTTGGAAGACGGGGAAGCTTTATGCATGCCTGTCTCAACATTAACAGTGTATTCCAAAATCCTCTGGGAATTTCCTATATGCTGTTGAGTGTTTGTTTTTTTCAATTTTTTAAATTAATTTTCCAAAAAATAAATAAATATTAAAACAAACAAACAAACAAACAAAAATACATCCTAGTTGTAATTAAACCAATTTTAATAACATTGTTAAGTGACTTCCTCAAATCCCCCCTGGTTGAATTTCATTGTATATCATTTTAACAGTTTTCCAAAATCAATTTTCTCAAAAAATTAACTTGATCACTTAACATCTTTCATTCTTTCTAATTTAGCTTTAAACATCTTAATTCCTATCCTTACATATTTAAATCCTAAGCCTATCTAATATTTGCAAGCTTTTCAAATTAAGTTATCTTAACGTATTTAGCTAAATGATCTTTAAATTTCATCCATTCTTCCTGGTACATGCTGTTGAGTGTTGATAAGCTGGAACAGCATTTTAGTTTATTTTGGAATTTATCAGATGTGCTTAAAAAGCATCTAATGAGGAGCGCCCCGGGTTCCACCTAACATTGCGGGTGCCCAGCATGCGCGTATGATGTCACACACAGTGGGAAGGCCCAATGGAGACCCCCACTGCAGCGTGTGATGCATTGAGTCGCCCGGTCAGGCTCCCATGGTAAAAACTTTGTGGGCACCCAGGGTGTCAGGGACTGGGCAGAAGAGGAATGGTGGAGACCGCCTCCCTCACCTGACCCTTCCAGAGAAGAAGAAGATAGTTCAGAATTACAACAGGGGTTTGAGGGAGGTCATAGCTCAGAGGCAGATGATAGGGAAAGCCGGGAAATAATGGGAGAGGAGGAGGAAAAGGAAGCACCAGGAGGGCAACAGCTGATGGACACAGTGTCTTTAGAAAGCATTCCAGACCCCGCCTCCCAGAACCCAGTGAGCATTGAAAGTAGTAGAGCAAAGGGCTCAGAAGCAGAGGGCCCTCAGCGCCACCTGTAGGCGAAAAGGTGGCAAATGATGAAGTGGGAGAAAAGGGGGTGGAGAGTCACTTGGTGCAACATCCAAGAGGCTGCATTCCCAAGCCTGTCTCTGTGAATACTCAATAAAAAGCAGGTGGTGAGGACTTTTCCTTGTCCTATCTGTTCCTGGCAACCTGCCATGGGGCTTGGTTCCTCTGCCGCCTGACACAGGGCCCCCTGCAGATGGCATCTATGGTGATGTCAAAGAGCTGGCGCAAGCATGTAATGGTACTACATTCTGTCCCTAGAACAGTGTGAGGGAAGGAAGCAGAGGAAGAGAAGAAAGTAGTGCAGGTGCAAAGGAACAGCAACAGCTGTGATTCCATAATGACCGCTCTCCCATCAACTGGAGGGCGCCCTTTGCGTGGCCGCGCACAGCACCCCGATCCCTGAGACAACGGCAGAAGTTCCTGGTCCGCCTCCCCGCGTCACAGCCCTTTGAGGTTCCCGCCAAACCTCAGTTCTAATGAACCTATCTGTGGTGGGGGGTGGACCTCTTCGCGTAGATAAAAGGGGTGGAGCCTAACTGAGAGCGCATAGTCAGCTCCAGAGCTTCACCCGCCCTACCCTCCCTTTGTTTAATGCTCTTTTATTACAGGTTAACTTCTTTTACAGGTATGCGGACGTTGCTACGGTCTTAGGATGGTTGCTGTTAAGGGACCAGGAAGGAATTTCCCTGCATTGGCAAGTTTCGGCTTCCCCGTAGCAAATGTCACAACATTGGCGGTTTTAGGCCTTGGGCGGAATCCTTTAGTCTATCTTCCCTAAATGGGGGGAGGGGCATGATGCCTCCCCCCCCACAGCGGTGATCCCAGGGTTCCCTGTTAAAGGGGCTGAGTCAGAGGGGAGTCACTGGCCATGCGCTGAAAGGTTGTCAGTGCACTCCCCAGTGTTGCGGTGAAATGGGGGCGGACACTCTGCGTAGACAAATGTCTTCCAGAGACAGCCCACTTCCCAGACAGACCTGATTACCCTCATGTGCCCCAAATCCCCGGCTGGGGACTGGGAGGGATACACGCCCAATGCCTAAGCCAAGGTCTTCCTACATGTGAAAGTTTAAATAAAGTTGTGGCCAATTTAATCCCATAATACATTGTCATGAGTCATTAATTTCTTCCGGGTGGCTCTTGGGTCGGGGGTCTCTGTTGAATGGTTTAATATGTAAAGGTTCATCATTGTTCCACTCGATGTGTATGTCTTTAAGGGGCCAGAGAAAGGGCCAGAGCAAAATAACGAGACCCAGCTTTACAGCTGTGAAACATAGCAGGTGCTGCTGAGTTGTATTGATTAAGCTGTGTTGGTAATTGGGTGTAGTATATAAGGAGCAGCACCTAGTTCTCCCATTACCCTGGGGGATGGGTTGGTGGTTGGGTCATGTTTGTTTGTTAATGTATTTAGTGTAAAAGGAGTTTTTGTTTTTCTTATTAAAACCTTGTTTAAGTTATTTTTGAGTCCCTTTTAATGCATGGTCTCCCCAGCAAGCTCTCTGCAGCGCTACCATACTGCAAAAAGTCAACATCTTTGGTTATGGGCCCAGCTGCTGAGTGGATGACTGCATATTTTTGGACTCTGAGAAAGGTTTGAAAACT